TTAAATTAGGAAAATAGCCTCAAATATCCTCGAATTAATCAGTTAAAATTTTTATAGTCAGTCCAGTATATATAAATCTCTTCTTTAATTGTTCTAACTTTTTACATCATCTGTTTAGATAATAATATAAAAATCTTTTTATTTAGAGAAATATTTTTATCACTAAAATCTAGAATATAAAGACCTTGTTTTACCCAAGGATGATTTTTTTCTTCTTTTCAACATCCAAAGTGTGTTTTCTCTTTGTTGAAGCATCTTTTTTCTTTTAGAATTGTTTTCTGGTTATATTTTGGAACAATTTCTGAAAACCTTAAAATTTATAAACAAATTATTGTACTTTGATAAGAAATATCAATGAAAATAGAGTTAAAATCCTTAGATATTTTGTAGACATAGTTATAATTTTTTATTATCTTATGAGTTTGAACAATAACTTTGAGAATTAGAAACTACTTGAAGATTGTATTTTCACTTAAAAGCAAATTTATAGTAAATATATTTATCTCAAATATCTAACTGAAAAGGCAGAGTATCTGATAAATTTACAAATAAAACATAAATTATGGGTTTTCTGTTGAAGAAAAACAATTAGACAAATATATATTAACTAAACAATTAGACATGTGCTAATTATTTTATGGATTAACAAATATAGGTTATCTGAATACCTAGAAAAATATATATTAAGAATAAGGACATGGGCTGGGGATGTGGCTCAAGCTGTAGCGCGCTCGCCTGGCATGTGAGCGGCCTGGGTTCAATCCTTAGCACCACATACAAACAAAGATGTTGTGTCCGCTGAAAACTAAAAAATAAATATTTAAAAATTCTCTCTCTCTCAAAAAAAAAAAATAAAAAGAAGAAGAAAGAGATAACTTATAATCATATGAACTTTATGTAACTATGTGGTTCTTAAAATATTTGGATCCATTTCAATTTATTTTTACCTAGGAGTGCACTCTTTTATGTGACGTCAGTTGATGTAACTGAATAAGATCCTGTGTATACATATTTATTTCTTATAGTCAGGAATGAGAATAAGGATTTTTTTGGTCATCACAGGAACATTGCTGGCTTTGTTCCTGTGGTGAGCAAATGCATTCCCATAACCTCCAAAATTAAAGTTAAATATAAAGAAGCATGTTTGATATCTCTTATTATTAGAACATTATTTAGTAACACAACTATAAGAAAAGTCAGGTTATTTAACTCAGAACTAACTTAAATTAAGGGCTGCAACATAGAAACCTGTGGAATTAAATTTTGTCTGAAAAAGATATCTTTTGTTAGCATTTACAGGTAGGCATTCTTAGAAATACAGGCTCTGAGCAGCTCCCATAGCAATCTGAATCAGGAAATACAGGTTAGTGGCTGGAAGGTGGACTAGAAGTCCTGTCTGAGTGACTGTGGAAGAACCAATCAGAAGCCTGCGAAAGTGCGGGAGGTGGGACCAGGAAGCCTGCTCCTCTGGCCAGGCACCCTATGGTTACCATGGTGACGCAAACAACATGGAGTCTGCTACCCATTGTTGGGGATAAAGTTTTCTGAGTTTTCCTAGCTGCTAGTATTTTGTTTGATTTTGTCTGCATTTTTCTCCACCTGGCCAGGATCCTATTAGGGTAGTAGCTTGCTTTGTCTCTGCGACCTGCAGTTGCAGCGCATGTACTCCCGCATCCTGCACTTTTTTTTTGTGGCTCATGGGTGCTCCAAAATTTTTTAGCGGCAGATGCCAGTTTTACCATCAGATTTTAAGCCAGTCTGGGTTCAGCATTAAGGTCAAGTTATTTAAGGGTTAAAAGCACTGCTGGCCGCTGGGGCTAGGACCCCATAGCAAGCAGCAAGCAGCAGGTCAAGTCTTGTCCCCAGCGGCTGAGTCACAGCCATTCTGATTCATAGGACAATCAAGTAGCAAAGAAGTCAGTACAAACTTTCTGAGTATTGACAAAAACAATAGAAGACTGAAATTTATTTCTCTCCAGATAAACATCACAACATTTTCTCTCCCCTTTTCTTATTCTCCTAGCACAAATTTCTAGAACATAAGGACCAAAAAACTTTTTTTAAAGCATTTTTTTAATATTTATTTCTTAGGTGTAGATGAACATACAATGCCTTTATTTTTATGTGGTGCTGAGGATTGAACTGGGTCCTGCCCATGCCAGGCGAGCACTACCTCTGAGTCACAATCCCAGCCCCCAAAAAATATTTTATAAAGATTTATAAAAAACAATTTTCAAAAATCCACAAAAGCACTCTTTCCATGGAGAGGACTCAACTCAACAACAGCCTATTAATCATCTGAATTTAGAGTCTCTAGAATTGTACCCCAATATTAAAATTTTTAACGTCACAGATTTTCCTTTTGTATAATTCACTTATTTTCTACAATTCAGCCCACAATACTCTGCAATCCTAAGCACCCTTAACTTCTGGAGAGAACTTTCAACTTCACTAAACTTTTAATATTTAAATTGGAGTCCCCTTAAGAGCCAGCATTTGTAGCTTTTGTCCTGGCAGCTTAAAGACACAGACCTTCAGGCCCATGTTGGACGCCAATTGCTGGGTTTCTGTTCTCTCTACTAAAAAGCTCAGGGGTCGGTCACTCCAGTTAAACTGGGCTAACTGGGCTGCAGGAAATAACCACACAAGAGACACAAATACTTTTTTCTTTAGGGTCGCTATGACAGCTCCTCTGACCTTACGGGTCCTCAGGAACAGAGAGAGCCAGAGCACGCGCTGACCCCTTTTATTTATTTAATTTTTGTTAGCTGCACATGGCAATACAATGCTCTTGACAATTCATACATTTGAATCAAATGGGGTATAATTTCTCATTTTTCAGATTGTACAGGTTGCAGAATCATATTGATCATACAGTCACCTTTTTACATAGCCATAATAATGTCTATTTTATTCTGTTGCCCTTTCTATCCCCCCTTCCCCTACCCTCCCCTCTGTCTACCCAATCTAATGTGACACACTTCTTTTTTTTTTTCCTCCTCACAATATCATACATGTATTCTGTAAAACGATGAGGGTCTCCTTCCATCTTCCATGCAATTCCCCTTCTCCCTCCTTTTCCCTCCCATCACTCTTCCCTATTTAGTGGTAATCTTTTTCTCATGCTCTTTCTCCCTATCCCATTTTTGAGTCAATCCCCCTTATATCAGAGAAGACATTCGGCAATTGTTTTTTAGTGATTGGCTAACTTCACTTAGGATAATCTGCTCTAATGCCATCCATTTCCCTGCAAATGCCATGATCTTGTTATTTTTTAGTGTATAAATGCCACATTTTTTTTATCCATTCATCTATTGAAGAGCATCTAGGTTGGTTCCACAGTCTACCTATTGTGAATTGTGCTGCTATAAACATTGATGTGACTATGACCCTGTAGTATGCTCTTTTTAGGTCTTTTGGGTATAGTACCAGAAGGGGAATAGCTATTGAGGAGAAGTTATTTAAATGAGGCAAGGGGTCAGGTTTCAGGGGGCTGAGTTATCTTCATGATTCCACTGTCAGCAGGTTGACTGACACCTGGTTAAGGCCACACCCAAGGGCACAGTAAGAGAAGGGGACACACACAAGGCACTTCCATGGAAGATTCTATCCTTAACAGGGCAAGGGGTTATATTACAAAGGAACAAGTGAGCATAGCTCCACCCATGGGGCTGCAGCAAGACACACCCATGCACCAGACACTGACCCTCAGACCCAAGAAGGGTGGGGAAAGCTCTGCCACATTTCTGCAACTGAGTGCCTCAGCACCCAGCCAGGGAGTGTGACTCAGTCATGTGTAAGGGTGGTCTCCCACACTTCTGGACATAGGCTTCTCCAAGGTCATTCACCAGGAGGTTGTTGTCTATCCTTGTCCCCAGCTAACCCTTGTGTGGGGTGGCTCTCAGGGTTGTAGTGGGCTGGAACTTTCCTGTGGCCACTATCAGCTTCTCACTCTTTGAAATCCAGACCCTTTCAGAGTTTTGGGGATAATTACTAACAGGTAAGTGATACAAAAGGACCCACTCATTAAAAACTAAGCTAGACAGCTGGGAGTGGTGGCACATATCTGAAATCCCAGTGACTTGGGAGGGCTGAGGCAGGAAGATTGTAAATTCAAGGCCAACATCAGCAACTTTGTGAGAACTTGTCTCAAAATAAACACAAAAAGGGTGGGGGATGTAGCTCACTGGTAAAGAGTCCACGGGTTCAATCCCCAGCACCTTACACTGGGGAAAAACAAAAGATAAAATAGGCCACACTTAATTCCATTAATGAAAAAAAATTACATTCTTGAGAGTTAATGTTGAAAATTCAGAAGGCTATCTACCACACCAGAGTGTCTAGGTAAGTACTTTATACATGGCTACTGCTTTGTAATCTTTATACCCTTGGGCTAGCTATCAGGCTCCAGAGGTCATTCAGACTGAAGGGCAGTCAACCTGGGGAGGTCTCAGACTTCTGGCCAGCCTCAAGGAACTAGGGGGGTCAAGTTTCAACACTTCAACTTTCTTAACACAAACTTGAAAAATTACTTTCACTGTATAATCAACTTAGTGTAAGTTGAATCTCAATATGTTCCAGTGCCTACCACTGACTGACAATGGAGTCATGACCGAAATATATATGTTGACCAACAGATTAAATAGATGATGTAGTGGGAAGGGGAATTTTTGGTTCTCTGTGTTTTATGTTAGTCTAGGAAAGGCAACCTACTCAGGGTCTTCCTACTCCACACTAAAGCTTGGAAGAGTTCCTAAATCAGGAATGTTTTAACCCACTTTTAGGCATCCTCCATGTCTAGCAAGCCCACATCCCATCCAAGCTCTTGATACATGTAGGCCAACAGCTACATATTACCAGAGCTAGTTATAGAACATATAAGGCTGGTCCCTGGGAATTGTAAATAAAGGGCAAGGGCCCAAGAATCTTTCACTCAAATGAAACCATCCACCTGAACACCCACCAGGAATCCACAGATCATAAACCAGCAGCAGGAGAAAGAACACTTGGAACCAGTTTTATGCTCACAAAACTCAGTTGTGAGCCCCTTAACGCGTTCTGGGCCCGGGACTGAAAGACATGAGGGCCGTGGTGATGCAGACCAAGAGCAGCTCTATCCTCTATTCTGAAGAGTCTGTGATCAGGAGAAGCATGTGAAGGAAGTGATCACTTCTCAATCGTAAAACAGGCTTAAGTAAGCAACTCGGTTCCGATGCTTTCTAAATTCTTTGTCTGTGGACAGCTGCAATGAAAAACAATGTTCTAATGAGAATCCTCTGCCTTCCTTTGTGTGTGTGGCACTGGGGATTAAACCCAGGACCTTGCATGCAAAATAGAAGCACGCATTCTAGCTGTGTGGCCCAGGTAAACCCCAGTTTCTAGTAATCCAGCCTTAGTCATTTCCTCAACATTTGTGCACATCAACCATTTATAATGTTACTATGATAAAAAAAAAGTTGTTTGGCTTCTTGAAGACACAGATTATATGTCTAATTCTTGAATGTTACCTGTATGCCTTAGCACAATTATATTAATATGTTATATTAATTATTAATGTTACCTATATGCCTTAGCACAATTATATTAATTCCACAAATATAAATATTTGCAGAATTAATCCTAAATTCCACTAGGAAGGAAGGGTACTTCAAGAAGTATGATAGCTAACATGGACAGAAGCATATGTTATCATTACTGAGTTAAATGCTTTTCTACATTGTCTCCATTATTAATCTTTACAACCATATCAGATCAACTCTGTTATTATTTCATTTTAAAGGTAAGAAAACAGATGCTTAGAAAAGTTAAAGGACTTGCCTAAGATCACATAGCTAGTCTACACAGGAGCTGGTATTTGAACTCAGGCAGTATTATCCCCAGAGTCTGTGCTCTTAACCAGAGTGCTCTATAGCCCTCCAATCATTTAACACTCAACTTTATGTCAGAAAGAGCACTGCATCAGGAGTCAAAACATCTGTATTCCAGTTGTAGAACTTGTATGAATCAATCTTCCTGGTTCCAGTATCATCCATTGTCTTAAAGGGATATTTCTCCTGAATCTACTGCAAAAGATTACTTGAGGAACAAATAAGATGACATGACTTTAAATCAGTCCTATACACTGTTAAAAATCTAATGAAACTATGTAACTCTCTCAAAAGGATCCTCATATTTCTATGCACACAAAACTGTGCATATAATTTCAGGGGATCATGAACTTCATTTACAAGCTTCTGGTTATTGACCCTTGCTATATATGAACATATTAGACAGAGTGATCTACAGAAATCCAATCTTAATACCTCAGCTTTTAGAGTTCTTTTCTGTAGACTTGGAACCTGAGCCCAATCTGGAGATCCAAATTTCATTGGCCAAGTAACTTTTGGAAGTGGTTTCTTCTCTGGGTTGTATGCACCAGGGCTAGAAATAAAAAAAAAAAAAAAATACAAACCATGTCGAATGAGTCAGTGGCATAGGACGAACTCCACTAGTAGGTAGCAAGGCCATCACTGAAGTAGGTTTAACCTCTTGGGAGAAGGCAATGGACTGATTAACTTTTTAACACTGGGCAAGAGTGGGGTGATTTTGCTTGTTAATGTATTTCTTATTAGCTAAGGTAAAAGCTGCTTTTAAAAAGTATTTCTACAATTCAGTGTTCTGAGCCAGGACACGAGAAGATCTCAGAAGAGGTGTTGCTAGAAGAGATCCATGATAATGGTATTAGTTCTTTCATTTGAAGTTGGTGGTTAAAATCCTGAAACAATCTATCTGCAATGTAGGGACATGAAAGTGGAACCAATTAAATTTCTTGGCCATGGATTATTTTAGAATTGCCTTGGTTCCTCAATCTTTGTCTTTTGAAAATTACACTGAGATTTCTTCTCAATCTAGTCAGAATGGCAATTATCAAGAATACAAGCAATAATAAATATTGGCGAGGATGTGGGGGGAAGGGTACACTCATACATTGCTGGTGGCATTGAAAGTTGGAAAGCAGTATGGAGATTTCTCAGAAAACTTCAAATGGAATCACCATTTGACCCAGTTGTCCCACTCATGGCATATACTTCGAAGACTTAAAATCAGCATAATGTAGTGACATGGACTCATCAATGTTTATAGCAGCTCAATTCACAATAGCTAAGCTATAGAACCAACCTAGATGCCCTTCACCGGATGAATGGATAAAGAAAATCTGGTATATATAATATGTAATATTACTCAGCCATCAAGAAGAATGAACTTTTGTAACTCCATATCATGCACAACCACAAGAATGGGAAGTTATGCTCCATGTATCTATGATATGTCAAAATATATTCTACAGTTATGTATAACTGAAAAGAAAAAATACAAAATTAAAAAAAAAAACTATATTTTGGGGGTAAATCCAACGGGGGGGAAATGAGACTCAAGATTCAACACTTCAACTTTCTTAACACAAACTTGAAAAAGTTACTTTCACTGTATGATCTTTGGACTTCTCATCAGTAAAAGAAAGACCCTGACCCTTTGCTGTGCAATTTCATACATTCCAAGTGGTTTCCTAACACACTAAGAATAAGCCCCTTGACCCCCAAAGTCCTCTCCTCCCTCTCTCTCTTCCTTCTTGCTCACTGCCCTCTAGCCATACTAGCCTTCTTCTTCTTTCCCTCACACCAAGTTCTTTCCCAGTTTACAGCCTTTGCACTTCCGACCTCTTCTGCCCAGGGTGTGCTGTCTCCAGGTCTTCCCAGGCTGGCTCAATCTCGTCACTCAAAAATCAGATCAAGTGTGATGTGCTCAGAGCATCCTTTCTTAACCACCCACTACTTTCACATCATGGTCCTGTTTAAAGTTTCCTCATAGCACCTTTCCTGGTCACTCTACTTCCTGGTTTGTCCACAACAGCCCTAGCTCATAGCTGCTTCTCTTTCACTCTCAGAAGTGTCATAGATGGACAGATAAATTACATGGTCACCGTCTTTACTACTATTGGTATTTCCTTGTGTATTTACTTCTCATCTATTTGGACTCTAGACTCCAAGCTCAGAGCCTCGTGAGGTGGGTTTACTGCAAGAACTTTGCAACCTACAAAGTACAAACTACAAAATAGCCAGGTGTCATGGCACAGATCTGTCCTATCAGGGATTCAGGAGGCTGAGGAAGGAGGACTTCGAGTCTGGGGTCAGCCTAGGTGACTTAGTGAGATTCTGTCTCAAAATAAAAAAGTAAATGGGGCTGGAGATGTGGCTCAGAGATTCATTCTCCAGTACTGGGAAAATAAAACAGACAAAAATAAACAAACAAACCCAAACTATTTGGCATCTTGATAAATACTGACTGGATGAATAACTGTGATTTTGCAATTACACAAAGGCCAGAGACCTGGGAGATAAGAGGATTAAATCTTTAAATTTGGGTGGTTTCTTATTGAGTGGGATGGTTTTGTTATAATCACTAATTTATGGACTTCTTTTCCTATTGCTTATTGATGAACTATACTAGAGAAAAGAGGAGACATACCCAGGGAAATTGTCTTTTGAATAGCTCTGAAATCGAGGCATGAAGGCATTAAATGGAACAAAACTTTGCTTTGTTTTTTCCTTCCAATTCTCTACTCTCTGGTACTTGCCTGGGTGAAGTGTCGATTCCTATTACCAAGAAAAAAATTCAATGTGTTAAAGGGAGACACACCTACACAGAAATGCTTCCATTTCAAAAACTCTCAACTGTCCTTTTCCTATGTATAAATCAGCCATGGTTCAGCCATTTCAAGATATACAAATAGGCTTATATGGATAGAAAACCAAGCTATAGATGTGAGTCAGTCATGCTGGATGTATAGGTTGTAGTAATAAACCTAGGCTGAGCAGGGAACCAAGACAACTTTTGCAGTCACTATGCCCCTGGTCCCACTGAGAAATTTTGAGAGCCAGTGTCCCTTGAGTTTCCATGGAAGTAAACATCCAATCAGAGATTAGGATCCTTGGTCCAAGGATGTAGCTCAGTGGTGGTGTACTTGCCTAGTGAGTCCCTGGGTTCCATCCCCACCCACTTCATGAGAGAAAGAAAGAAAGACAAGGAGAGGGAGGGAGAGAGTGAGAGAAAGAGATTAGGATCCTTTACTAAAGATTAGATTTAAAATCCAATCTCACAAAAGGATAGAAAAATTAGAACCTGTTTCTTTAACTGACAAGATAATATGAGGTACATAAATGCATTTTCCAGTATTTTGACCTCATGCATCTCAGCACTAAAATCCTTTGTTGGGACTGTTTTCTCAGTGAACTGTTTTTGCTCTTCCCAATATACACACAACTTCTGCAAAGCTAATGCCCAAACATTTCATGCAGTCACATGGGTCATCATAAAATCCCAGCATTTTACCTTGTTGACTGGCTTAAACCTCATAGCTGTTCTGGCTCCAAGAGTATATCCTTTTGTACTGGTTGGAATCTTGGTTAAGTTGTATGCCAAGCCATAGGACTTCAAGTAGTAACATATGAATAAAAAGAGAGAAGGAGTAAAGAACAACATCAATACCACAGTGAACAGCCTCCATCTGAACTACTCTGTAAGACATTGCTCTTTCTCTCTTGACTCCTTCAAGGTCAATACCACACAATAATCACATAAATCATACATGTAATTTTGCAAGGGGTTGTGTCATAGCTTAGATGTGAGATGTCCCCCAAAAGCTCATGTATGAGACAATGCAGGAAAGTTGAGAGGTGAAATGATTTTGTTCCAAGAGTCTTGAGCTAATCAGCACTTTAATTCCCCTCCCCAGCATAGAGATTAACTTGGTGACAACTCTAGGCAGATAGGGTGTGCCTTGAGGAAGTGGGTCCCTGGGGTGTGCTTTGGGGTTCATGTTATGTTCTTATGAGCAGAGCTTTCTCTCTGCTTCCTGACCCTCATGTTCTGAGCTGCTTTCTTCCACCAGATGTTCTGCCTCCTCTCAGGCCCCAAGGAATGAAGCTGGCCATCTATGGACTGAGACCTCTGAACTATGAGCCCCGAAATAAACTTTTCCTCCTTAAAATTGCTCTTATCAGGTCTTTTGGTAGCAGCAAGAAAAAAGCTGATTAAAAGAGGGATGTGGTTGGACAGGTAGAATAAATGACATCTTTGTGTATTCTAATAAATTCCATCCTCTGAATCTCATAGGGCTGAACCTGTTCCAGTTGCACCTGGCAGTCTGAAGGTAGGACCAGTGGGAAGGAACTGGCCTTGGCTCAGAGCCTTTGAGGTGGGGATGGAGTGGGACCATATGGAGACAAGGTTGCTTGCCTTGGGTGGAACCATGGTCCTTTACTCTCTGTATTGGCTGGGACAGCTGGTTGCCCACTAGGCACTTTCTCATGCTCTGACCCAGAAGATCACAAAGCCTAGCGTTTGTTTTCCAGGGGACTTGGGTCTCCCTTCCACATCCAGGAAACAGATCCTTGAAAGGGAAAGTGAATACTCACATCTGTCATGTAACTTCCAGGCCCTGTGTCAGGAAATCCCCTAAGAGGGAGAAAGTCATTCCCCATCCGGTTTGAGGGATAGAAGTCAGGAAAGAGCCTCCTGGGTTGGCATGATCCAAAGGAGTAGTTACTCGGCAACCCTGAAAATCAAGAAAGACAAACTCCAGGTTAGGGAAGGCACCAGGTCTCTGCAAGCTGTGGAGGAGAGGAGAGTTCAGACAGTAGAACAGAGCCCTGGGCCCCAAGGAGTTCTCACAAAAAACAGACCAAACTCCCCCTAGGGGCCACTGCACTTCCCTCCCCTCCAGCCTTCCAGCCTCACCAGCCTTTTCCTTCCCTGTGCTCTGGACTCCTGGGCATGCCTCCTCACCAGCTCTGCTGGAGCACATCTCCCAGGGCTCCTGTAGCACTGTGTATTGTGTAGTCAAGGGAACAGAGACACTAGCCTGGCCCAGCTGGGGAGGTTGGGAGGAGGTGCAGGATCCTGGCTGCCAGCAAGTGGCAGTGCTGAGCAGGAGGTGAGAGTCTGCACCTCTGGGCAGAGAACCCAGAGGGCAGTGAGTTCAGCAGCTGGGCCAGGGGTAGGAGGTCTGTTAGATGCCCAGCTGGAGGGGCTGAGTGGGCAAGGGGTGTGGCAAAGGGCTTTGGAAACCGCCAGGAGGAATGCACTGCTGAAGAGGTAGAGAGGGGGTTCAGTACCCCAAGTCTGAACTTCAAGGATGGAAGGAAGTTCGAGGTTGGGGTAGGAGAGTGGGCAGGGGAGTGCCAGGGGCGTTGAGCTGAGATCTAGTTCCTTCCTAGGTCGATCTTAGGCCCCTTTACCTATTTTCAGCCCCTTCCAATCAGGTTGCCCCACCTACCTTCCTCCGGGGGATGGAGAAGGAGGTTGGGGATATTGTGAAGTGAGGTGGGGTGGAGAAGATGGAGACCAGCATGAGTCTTTTTTTAAAAAGATTGGTGGCTCTGAGTGGAACAGGTACAGTGCAGTGGAATCATAGAAATGCTTAATATTTTTAAAAAAATCCTGGGCAGTCCTTTAATTTGAAACCCCCTTTTGTTTATCTCTAAATTGGGACTGATATTACCTTTTTGTAGGGATACTGAAAGGATTAAGGTGATAGGATCATATCAATGCATTGCCTGGTACTTTGTAGTTGATCACTCAAGAGGTGGTCATTACTGAAGATAATGTCCATCTAGCTTATGAGCACCCCATCCATCCTAACCCATGAAAAAACGTCAATCTATTTGTTGTTGACTTCTTCACCTTGTCTTGGATATTAACACTAACTTATTTTAGTGGATTTTAAGTTGGCCTTAGGAGTTATCCAGGTTTGGGAGGTAACAGGAGACATAATGTAACCAGTTCACACTGCCCTTTGGCCCCTTAAGGATGACCTGGTATCCACACACAGTTTGGGTTAGCAGTATCTTCATTAATTTATAATCTATAAAATTCTGAATTTTACAGATCTAATAAAGGTTCCCCCACAAAGTGATACCTATAGTGTATTTTGGAAAATTGTGGAAGCACTAATTTATGGTTTGTATTTAAAATATTTTTTATATTTTAATTAGGCACATAATAATTCTGCATATTTATGGATTACCATGTGATGTTTCAGTACATTTTACACAGTGTAATATGCAAATCAGAAAAAGCACATGTTTGGCCTCAAACATTTATCATCTCTTTGTAATTAGAACAGTCAAAATCCTTTCTTTCAACCATGACATACACCTTTAATCTCAGCAGTGGGAGGCTGAAGCAGGAAGACAGTGAGTTCAAAGCCAGCTTCAGCGACTTAGTGAGGCCCTAAATAACTTAACAAGACCCTATATCTCTGGGTATGTGGCTCAGTGGTTAAGGGCTCCTGGGTTCAATCCCTGGTACAAAAAAAATCATTTCTTCCAGTTGGAGAAAGCATTTTTGTTTAAGAATTATCAAGGTCAGGGAGGCTAAACATCCTGCAATGCACTGTCTAGTTATATATAAGAATTGTTTCATATACCATATAACATTTAAAATGTCCTGCTGGTCTCTACAAAACCTTTTGGAAGTACTTATATATATTAGTACACAATTTTTTTCAAAGATAATATAGAGAGACCAGTAATATAGAAAATTGTTAGGAGGAGCCAAACGTAAAAGGAATAAAGATAGAATCTCAAAGTTGTTGTTCAGTTTACTCCAAGCATTCTTCTCTCAAATTATGATTATGGCAATACCAACGGTAAATAGAATGTAAAGAGATGTTTAAATTGATTTTATAATTTTTTTATAATTTTCACTTTCATTAATATTTTAGGTAATATTAATATTTCTAGGTTCTCAGTGTTTTTTAAAAATAGTGTTTTCATTATTAATGACAGGAGACATCTCATAAAGTATCCTGAAGATACATATGGCAACCAGTTTCTACATTGATAGACTGATCTATTTCAGACTAATCTCCTAGCCAAGAAAACCTGGGTAGAAAAGCTGGAAATATAAATAAACATGTTTCAAGTTATCAGAGATATTAAGGAAGAAAAAAAATGCAGGGCCTAAATCAAAAACCATATCAAACTTCATTGAGGGGTGAGTCGTTCTCTTTGTCATTTGCTAATTAAAAAGCTGGCTGAGAAGCAGAGTATTTGAGCAGAGCTTTGGACAGATGATTTGAGACCTGGGGAAAAAATTAGGCTGGCTATGGAGAGGGGGAGATTGGAAAATACCCTAGAATTGTAGTTAGAACTCTAAAGAGATAAACCCTGGAAATGAAGATAAACAAGAAATAGATGAGCTCTCAAAAGCATCTGAAATCCAGCTTTGCATTAACTCAATTCCTAATTGCACTAAAATAATTTGCTTCTACCCTTCTTGCATGCAGGAGACAGAAGTAAATCATCTTTGAAAATAATAACATTGACACCCTGAACTGATATTTTTCTAGGCAGAATATTTGACATTCAATATAAAATAACTGCTCATACTAAAATAAATCAGTAAGAGTAGTAGAAATAGACTCCAAGGAAATTCAAATTCCATTAAATGTGGAATTTAAAATAACCATGCTTGGCTTGAGATTTTGGAGACAGCAACAGGACTAGTCGCATGGCAAACATTTGGAAGCAAAAGAAAACAAGGAAATGTGTGACCATGAAGTAAATCATGACTTCTGGGGTAAGAGGAATTCTGAGGTATCAGGAAAGAGAAATTTCTCATTAATTTCCTATTCATGTTGTCAATATGGGCTCACCTACATCCAGATTGATACCAAATTTATCAATTGTTCATTAGAGCCAATCTGAGCACAGTACAAGGACTGACTGTCTATTCACCTTGTTTGTCCCCTGTATAACCCACTGAGTAAGGACAAAATTGAGAAGTTAATGCAGAATTTTAAGTATTGCTAAGGAATATCAAGGATCCGATGTTTGCATGATAACTATTCACAAAGTGACTTCTATGTAGGTGACTACTTAGTACTGAGGAATGCGGAAGACAAAGTTCTATTGTGTGGCCACTTTTGATGAAGACCTTAAGGTTAAGCAGGTTCCATCAGGCACATTTCTAATTATAGTTAAAGCATCAAGAAAATGCCAGATATTTTATGAAGACCCTGTCATAGTTTTATGAGACTGCTTACTGCTTTCCTCATTTGAATATTTCTGAGGCCAGCATAAGAATTATTATTTCAGGGAATCACTTGCTTTGTTGCAGAAATCTAAGAATAAGAATGTGAATAACTAGATGTAAATTTTGGTACAATATTTTTTCTTTTTTAATATTTATTTTTTAGTTTTCGGCGGACACAACATCTTTGTTTGTATGTGGTGCTGAGGATCGAACCCAGGCCGCATGCATGCCAGGCGAGCGCACTACTGCTTGAGCCACATCCCCAGCCCTTGGTATAATATTTTCAATAGATTGTCTCCATTAAAAAATGTATTGAGGGGCTGGGATTGTGGCTCAGTGGTAGAGCGCTCGCTTAGCATGGGTGGGACCCGGGTTTCATCCTCAGCACCACATGAAAATAAAGGCATTGTGCTTTGTCCATCTACACCTAAAAATATTTTTTAAAAATTTATTGAGTTAAACAATAATCAGTCCAGCCCAGAGTACAAAAAAAATGATTATAAGATATATAGTCAAGAAATTAAGTGACAAGAGGAGAATTTTAGAAGCAACAAGAAAGGAAAAAGCTGTAGAAATTTAAAAAAAAATTACCATCAATGAAAGAAAGTAGGAATTCAATGCATGAGTTTAATAGCAGATTAGAAAAACTGAACAAATGAATGAATGAAATGGAAAATGGGTATCTACACTTAAGCTTGGAGGAACAAAAGGGTACAAAATACATACAATATTGTAAGAGATAGTACAATGATAGTACAATAAGTAACAATGAAATGTTTGGATACATTTTTATTTGGAGTTCCATAAGCGATGGAGACAGAGTGGTAGATGCAAGAGTTGAAGAGATAATGGCAGATAATGAAATTGAACGAATTTCAACAAATATAGACTTTTACGAAGGTGAAAATAAATACATGATAAAAAAAATCATTAAAACCAAAAGTCAAGTGTGGACTATTAATTGAGAAGTCCTAGCTACTCAAGAGGCTGAAGCAGAAACTGATGAAAAAATTGAACCAAATGTTGCAACCTCAAGTAAAACAAATAAAAAGCAAACCGCAAGGTCATATCATAGTACAGCCAAAGAAAACCACAAAGAGAAAATCTTGAGGGCTGGGGTTGTGGCTCACTGGTAGAGCACTTGCTGAGCATGTTCAGGACACTGTTCAATTCTCAGCACCAATAAAAAAAAAATAGAGATATGTGTCCATCTAGCTAAAAATATATATATAAAAAGAAAACCTTGAAAGCAGATACAAAAGGTATGTTACTTTCAAAGAAGCAAAAGTAAGCCTAATAACTGACTTTTTTGGACAGGAACAACAGAATCCAGGAGACAATGGAATAGTGACTTTAAGTGCTGAGATAAAGAATGGAATACCCTAGTGTAACCCCACATCACACACAACCACAATAATGGGAAATTATACTCCATAAATATATGTCAAAATACATACTACTGTCATGTGTAACTGAAAACAACAATTTTTTTAAAAAAAGAATGGAATACAAATTCCA